CCAAGAATAACTAGTAACCTATTTAATCCATTACCAAGCTGGGTTTCTAATATTACTACTCACACTGAATGAATGAAATGGAAACGTGCACAGATTGCTTCAGTAGACATAAAAGTTGGCTTAAGAAAAAGAAATTCTGCAGAGTGGTTTTATTTAATTCTGTAAGATATGTAAACTATATAGCAGTAACTATAATGTGACTAGAAAGATAATGTAAATGAAATGAAATAAACATTTTCAGGGCTTTTTCCTTTCATAAGGAAGTAATTGGACTTCTTGGTTTTTTGTTTGTTCCTTTATGAATAAAACTATTATAGAAATTGAGTCATCTTACATAATCGTTTACCCATTTCACCAATTTTATAGACAATGAATCTAAAAATGGATTAAATGACCACAAAGAGCTAGTTGTAGAACAAAACCTTGAACCCATTGTTCAGATACCCTAGCCAGTGTTTCAATACTATAACTTCATCAGAATGAAGAGGATTAAATTTTGTCTATTGCATGGACTTTGCTGTTGCTATTTGGAACAAAAAGTATCTCTTAAAATAGGTTTTATGAAGTTTAAGTGCAAAATAACTAAAGCATTGCCCATTTTTGTACTAGTTTTCAAATTGTGGGTAATGTCAATTGTTAGTCATTCCTCACTTTAGTTATTTATAACAAAGATTCTGCTACACTTTATTAATCTATAATTTGATGAAATCTAGGGTGGAGCCAAGTATCACTGGTTTATGGTCATTTTAACAATCAACGGCCCACCCTATAGCCTCTTCATGTGTTCAGTTCTGTCCTGACATGGACATTACTCTTGAAATGTGCATTCTATTAAACCACTAATTCTCAGAATTATAAAATGACTAGTGGATAATTGAATGTAAACTGTTAGTGAAGTCAAAACTGAAAACACTATGAAATTTGAGAAATAAATAAAATAGAAATAAGCATTGATTTAACAGATTAAAAGTTTGAAAGGAGATGAAACTACTTGTGAGAAGAGTAAGAGATTTTTTTCTGTGAAGTTTTTCCTCTCTCTTTATCAATACACAAAAACTTACAATTACCTCTAAAAGAGAAAATCCACCTCTTATGGATGCTTTCCCCCACATTCTCTGTGAAAACAAGAACAGAAGCTTTCCATTTTCTCTCTCAGCATACAGTGAGAGGCAACTTTCTCATCATGCCCTGATGGTGAGCGTTGTTCAGAATCTGTATTTCCAGATTCTGAAAGTGAGGCATTTCTAAATATCATCCCAAACAAAATAGAAAGCATCAACCAAGATCCCTCTTCACTGCTTAAGAGTTAGAATATTGTTTTGTCTACGAAGTAAACTTAATATAGCATTTATGTTAAGGTTTGACAATGAATGCAGAAGTCTAGGAAATGAGATTTGATAAATAAATATAACAGCATATTGTTTGAG